AATCGTAAAATAGTAGCACAAATGGGTATTTTAAAGGGGAATTGCCTTCGTATGATTGCCAACGAGATCATAACATAAAATAAGAATTCCCCGGAGAATGAACTCCAGGAAGGTAGTAGAGTAGGGATTTGTATGATAAAATAGAATTCATATGATAAAGTCATCAAAATGAACAAGCACGACTCAGTAAAATAAAAGATAGATTCTTCGTTATCGATTATTGTTTTTCTCACAAGACAACAATAAAAATTTGATTGTCATAGTTTTCGAACAAAACATCAATCCACATTTGATTTGTGTTTCAATTCCAATTTGAATTCAATTGAACAATACCTCTAATTTTTTTTTTAAATCGATAGCAGTAGTTCTAGCGGTTGACTCAATTTTTTCAAATCTTTTTTCATTATTACGATTGTTTTCATTATTAAGAAACGGTAACGAAGATAAAATACGAGCTTGTTTTATAGCAATCGTAAGTAATCGTTGTTGTTTTAAGGTCAATTTATTGACCCGTCTAGATAATATTTTTCCTTGTTCACTAATAAATCGACTAATTAAACTCATGTTTTTATAATCAATTCGATCCCCCGAATCAATCAGGGGCAAACGCCTACGAGAAGATCGTTTGGGCTTAAGAAAGAGTCGCTTAGATTTATCCATGATTTGTTTATTCCTATCCCGAGAATTCTATTTCTTACCAAAAGGTTTTTTTATGTATAATTATACAATGAGATTAATTTTATCTATTATGTTATATATAATCTAAATTAGATTTTATATAAATTAGAGAATGCATCTATATAAATATTAGAAATGTATCATTCTTCATATTCTTTGTTTGGCAAGGTGACACACAAACAATCCTTTTTTCTATTTCTTTATCTCTGCATGAATCGTATGTTTGCAACAACAAGAACAAAATTTTCTTAATTCTAATCAACTGGGCGTATTGTGTCGATTCTTTTGAGTAATATATCTGGAAATACCCGTTGATTCCTTATTACACTCTTTTGAGCACAACAGGTACATTCCAAAATAACCCTTACTCGGATATCTTTACCCTTGGCCATGAACCTCCTTTTCTTTTGATTTTGGATTAACTTATCTTATCCATTTTTGTATTCCACGAAGAAAGGAATGAAAATAAAGTTAAAGTTGAAAATTCGAAATCAAATTTCGTTTCCATTAATATAGTACCAAAAGATTGAGGTAATACAAACAAAACTAGGATTTCAAACAATTTTTCGAATCGCAGTACAGTATTTTGGTTTTCATTTAAGTACGTTAAATGATATTGTTCCCCCCAACCGAACTATTCTATTTCCATTTCTGATCTTACTCTATTAATATTAAGAATGGAATTGAATTATTCATTCAATTCCATTGAAGCCTGTACCTGATTTCGAGTTTCGCGAAGGACGAATCCACCTTTTCTTTTATTCTTTCTCTTTTCTAACTTATTCTATTCGATTTGAATTCTAAAAAAGAAAGAGGAGGAATCCTCGATATTTTTTTAGATTTCTAATCCTCTTCATCGCTTCCTGTGCCAGTAACTATAATTAAAAAAAGGGGAATATCAATGCATCCGGGCATTTGAGAGATTAATGGAGTATTTGCAAGAAGAGCCTTCGTTGCCTTTGTTTTTTCATCTTTTCTAGGCAAAGGGGGTAGATAGGGTAATATGGGTAGCCTTGAGTTCACATCAGGGCCGTACAGTGTTTTCCCTCTTTAAGCCTTCGTATAGAGATTTCAAGAATTTTTATATTAAGGTGAAGTCATCGGATGATGCTTTCCCCTTTTTCTTGGATGAAAAGTTGTCGACAAGGTTTCCATTGTATTGGAATAAAAGGCCGGTGAAGTGTGAAAGTCGGTAAGCACAATACTCAAGAGGGGGGTGAATTGAGTGTTTAAACAACAATGATAAATTTTTGCGGAAGTGTAAATATCTAAGAATAAAGAACAACACAAGTGCTTGTACTAGTATTTTTCCAAGGGACTAAGTCAATTCCTAGCCACTTATAACGAGCTTGTAGTTTCCAAGAGCACTTGATATAAATTTAAATC